GATGCAGTCAGTCAGTTATTTGGGTGGTCGGATTCAGGGACTGGGCTAGTCAGTCTCACAGATCCAATGCTGCTAGTCTGGGGATTCACAGTAGTTTAGTCTATGAGGTGCACACAGACCAGTCAGGAGTTTGATCACTCATCAGTTGGGCTATCCTGTATGAAGGTACTGGGTGAGGAATCAGCTAGATTACCAAGCTGAGCCTGCAACTCACTCTGTGAAGCACAACCTTTGTTGCCTTTCATCCTCATCCATGTTGTAATTGCACAATGGAAATGAAAAATGGCTGTCACCACAGCCATTTGACCTGATGCACAGCTGGGCTTTATATATGGTGCCAGTGGCAAAAATCTTGGCAGGTCCTGGCAGTGACAAGCATTTCAGCCATTGGTGAGCGTAAGAGAGACTGAAAATGGTGCATAGCAATGTGTTGAATACATGTCAGATGAGCAGTGGAGATTGAGAACACCCTCCTGTGTGTTGTGTGGCACTATCACCATGCTAAATAGGACAGATTTCACAACTTATAACTGGGTATCCCTGAGGTGCTGTGGGCTACGAACAGCTGCAGAACTGAATTCCAGCACAATTTGCCGCTTCACAATTCCTGACTCAATCACTGTCATCAAGGCAAGGGCTGAACCCTGGTTCAATGACAAATGCAGGAGGGCATGCCAGAATCAGCTCAAGACATACCTAAAAATGAGATGCCAGCCTGGCGAAGCTATCGAACAAGACTACTGGTCTGTCAAACAACATGGGCAACAAGTGTAGGCACAGCTAAGCAATCCCACAATTGACAGATCAGATCTAAGCTCTGCAGGCCTGCCACAGCCAGTTGTGAATGGTAGCAGACAATTAAACAACTCACTGGAGGAGGAGGCAGCACAAATATCCTCATCTTCAATGATGGAAGAGCCAAACACATCAGTGCATTGTATAAGGTTGAAGCAATCATAGTTACCTTCAGCTAGAAATGCCAAATGGATGATCTATTTTGGCCTCCTCCAGTGGGCCCCAGTATCACAAATGCCAGTCTTCAGCCAATTTGATTGAGTCCACCTGATATCAAGAAATGATTGATGGCACAAAAACAGAGGTTGCTGGAAAACCTCAGCAAGTCTGGCAGCATCTGTGAGGAAAAAATCAGAGTGCTGAGGAAGGGTCACCGGACACGAAACATTAACTCTGATTTTTTTCTTCACAGATGCTATCAGACCTGCTGAGCTTTTCCAGCAACTTCTATTTTTGTTCCTGATTTACAGCATCCACAGTTCTTTCAGTTTTTTTTTTAATGATTGAAGGCACTGGATACTGCAAAGGCTATGAGCCCCGACAACATTCCAGTGATAATACTGAAGATTTATGCTCCAGAACTTGCTGCTCCCTTAGCAAAGCTGTTCCAGTACAGTTACAATACTGGCAAATCACAGAGTCATAGAGCTGTACAGCAAGGAAACAGATCCTTCAGTCCAACTTGTCGATGCCGACCAGATATCCTAAATTAATCTAGTCCCATCTGTCAGCATGTGGCCCATATTCCTCTAAACCCTTCCTATTCATGTACCCACCCAGGTGCCTTTTAAATGTTGTAATTGTACCAGCCTCCACCACTTCCTCTGGCAGCTCATTCCACACAGGCACCACCCTCTGAGTGAAAACGTTGCCCCTTAGATCCCTTTTAAATCTTCTTCCTCTTACCTTAAACCTATGCCCTCTAGTTTTGGACTCACCCACCCCTGGGAAAAGACCTTGGCTATTCACCCTATCTATGCCCCTCATGACTTTATTAACTTCTATAAGGTCACCCCTCAGCCTCTAAAGCTCCAGGGAAAATAACCCCAGGCTATTCAGCCTCTCCTTATTGCTCAAACCCTCCAACTCTGGCAACATCCTTGTAAATCTTTTCTGAACTCTTTCAAGTTTCACAACATCCTTCCTATAGCAGGGAGACCAGAACTGAATGCAGTATTCCAATAGTGGCCTAACCAATGTCCTGTACAGCTACAGCATGACCTCCCAACTCCTATACGACCTGGCCAATTACTGCCCCATCAGTCTATTCTCGATCAGTAAAATGAGGGAAGGTGCCATGAACAGTGTTATCAAGCAGCAGCTACTCAGCAATAACCTGTTCACTGACGTTCAATTTGGGTTCCACGAGGGCCATTCAGCTCCTGGCCTCATTTCATCCTTGGTTCAACCATGGACAAAGGCCCTGAATTCCAGAAGTGAGGCGAGATTGACAGCGCATTTGACCAAGTGTGGCATCAAAAAGCCCGTGCAAAACTGGAGTCAATGGATATTGCGGCAAACTCTCCACTGGGTGAGCTGTTGCGCGAGATGACAAATCTCAGTTACGAGGGCAGACTAGATTGAGTGTTTTCTTCTTGGAGCAGAGGAGACTGAGGGGATCTGATTGACGTATATAAAATTAATAGGGGTAGATTGTGAGAATGTTTTCTTCATGGCAGACATGTCTAAGTCCAGAGGACACAGGTTTTAGGTGAGAAGTAAGTGGTTTAAAGGAAATTGGAGAGAAAAAAGAAATCACCCAAAGGGTGGTAGAAATATGAAACGCATTGCCTGAGAGGTAGAGGCAGGTACTCTTTTAAGTAGCATCTGGACAAGCTCTTGAAACGGAGACAGTAAGGACTGCAGATGCTGGAAGTTCTTGAAATGCCAGGATATAGTAAGCAATGCACACAATACAGATAAATAGTGTTTGTTGGTTGGAATAGTCATGGTGTGTCAAACGGCCTATTTGTGTGCTGTATGACTCTAAGACCAGGTCAAAGGCTAGGAATACTGTGCTGAGTGACTCCCTAAAGGCTGCCCAACATCTACAAGGCGCAAGTCAGGAGTATGATGGAATACAAAAACAGAAAGTACTGGAAAAGCTCAGCAGGTCTGGCAGCATCTGTACAGAGAAATCTCTCCACAGATTCTGCCAGATCTGCTGAGCTTTCCGGCAATTTCAGTTTTTGTTTTGATTTCCATCGTCCGCAGTTTTTTCAGTATGATGGAACATGCCCCGTTGCCTGGATGAGTACAGCTTCAATAACATTCAAGAAAATAGACACCATCTGGGACAAAGCAGCCTGCTTGATTGGTAACACGTCCACAAGCATCCATACCCTCCACCACCGATGTTCAGCAGCAGCAGTGTGGACTATTTACAAAGATGCACTGCAGAAATTCATCAAAGATCCTTAAACAGCACCTCCAAACCTGCGACCACTTCCATCTAGAAGGACAAGGGCAGCAGATTTAAGACAAATTTAACATAACCAATTGTCAACCCATTAATCTGCTCTCGATCTTCAGTAACAATCTGTCTCTGGCACTCAGTTTGTTTCCATCAGGGACACTCAGCTCTTGATCTCAATTCAACCTTGGTTCAAACATGACTACAAGAGTGGAATTACAGGGGTGAGGTGAGAGTGACTGCCTTTGATAACAAAGCTACATTTGACCAAGTGTGGTATCAAGGAGCCTTCTCGAACCTGGCCTCAATGGGAATCAGAGGGAAATCTCTCCACTGGTTGTAGTTATACTAATATAAATGAAGATATTTGTACTTCTTGTTGTCATCTCAGGTCCAGAACATCTCTGCAGGAGCTCCTTAGGTAATGTCCCAGGCTCAATTATTTTTCACTGCTTCTCATTAACCTTCCTTCCATTGTAAGGTCAAACCTAGGATGACTCCTCAGATACTGAAGCAGTCCATACCCAAATGCAGCAAGGCCTGAATGATATACAGTGTTAGCAAGTAATATTCATGACACTCAAGTGCCAGGTAATGAACATCTCGAACAAGAGATGATCTAAGCATTGGCCCTTGACATTCAATGGCATTAAATCACTGAAACTGCCACTATCAACATCTCCCAGGAATTACCATTGACAAGAAACTAAACTGGACTAGTCATATAAACACAGTGGCTACCAGAGAAAGCCAGAAGCAAATAAGTCATTTCCTTAGTCCCAGAATGGCATTTTCAAGGATTCAGTACATGGGCTGCATGGAAGTTTGAATCCAGCTCTACATTTTGTTATCTCAGATTCTCCAGCATCTGCAGTTCCTACTATCTCTGGAAGTTTGAATGCTCTTTTTAGTGTCTCAATTTTGTCTCTTGAGGTGATTGACATTTCCTGACTGAGCCAGGGTCTCCTATGAGTTGAAAAGCAAGTTTGACATTTTCAGTATGCTTTAAAGACATTCCTGAAGTATTTTCACAGTCCTCCTGTGAGTTTCTTAGTATGACCAAGTTCAGAGTAGAGCAGTTTCTTTAGCAGCTTGGTTTCAGGTATAGCAATGTCAGGCATATTAATGGAAGTAATCCAATACTTGCCATGTCTATTCCTTTTATTCATTTGAAAACCTTATCAGATTCTTCATTTTTCTTAACTTGAATGATTGCAAACTTAGCTCTTAAATTCTGGCATCATCCTATAAAATCTGCATTGCACTTTCTTTAGTGGTAGAACATTACACAGTGAGAAGTCCAAAATTTCATTTTGTATTTCAGATGAGGCAAAACCATTGTTTTGTTATCTCCATAAACTGTTTGCTTTGCTATTTGATTTTTTTCAAAACAAATTCCAAATTTTTCTTTTTTTCTAAACTGTTCACCTTGGTGATATCCAATGAGCGTAGACAGCACCAGTGTATTATACATGGCAAATGCTGTATACAGTTTAACATTTTGCAGTTTAGAAACGGTGTTTGTCATAAAACTACATTGAGATTTTCAATTACTTTTATTTAGTATTGTGAAATCAATGATATCACATAAACTATGAATTTTAGATATAAAAACAGTGGGGAACAACATACAAGTTAGTTTCAAGGTTAAGCACATATATGAATTGATACTACATGTGTAAATTCAAGAACTTACTCAGAAAAAATAATTTAAAATGAGCTTTTGGAGTTTTACAGTTGGACATATATTCCAAAAACACAAATGTACATTTATATATTAATATGTACTCACAAACAACAGAAGTAATAGCGGAGTGATTACAATTCCCTGAAAGAGAGAGTATATTGATAATTGCTGTTTAAAGGAAAGCAATTCACTTCAAATAAATAATAAGACAGAATATTAATAACTTTATGAATTTAAGAATAAATAAAGCAATCGTGTAACATGTTTGCAATTCTCAATACTCCATCATACAGATATTTATCTAGTCTCCTTTCAAGGGTGTCAACTGACCCCAAATTATTTGCCTCTTCTGGAAAGCTGTTTTGTTAGGACTAGTGCCCATAACTTTCGGATTAGTGGCTATGAAAAACGTTTTGTGGAATATGGCCCAAACAAGTTTTAAACAGTTGGTTACTATAAATCTGACAACTATCAATATAACAACGAAGGTCTCAATACATTAACATCTTAATGTCTCAATTAACATCTTCAATGGCCAAATTTTGAACAATATTGTGGGCCACAAAATGGACAAAAGCGAGTCAGAAATACATTTGCTGTAAGAGATGGGTTGTGGGAGAAAACCTATTAAGTGTGATGGAGGTAGAAAGAGATCACCTGACAGGCTGGGAGTAGATTAAGAACTGCCTGGTTTGGGACACAGGATGAGATCAGCAGGGTTAGGTGTGGCTGAATGCTGCTTTTGGAGCTGGAGGAACATACAGGGACTCAGGCAAATACTCCTGCAACTCTTAGCTCAAATGGAATAGTAATCTAAAATCGTCCTACCAATTGCATTGTTGCCTATTAATGTTTGCATGTTGTGGACATATACATGAAATTCACATTACCAAAATTTACCTACCCCTTCTGAACTCTCCCGTCCAGTGGGAGAGTTCATATCAAGACCACAGTTGTTTGCCAGGGCTTTGTAGGCCAATTTATATGACAGCATATGGTTTAATTCACAGTGGATAATGTGACTTCTGCTTATACATATAAAAGTGCAGACTTATTACATAAAAAAATAGAGAGAACAGCTATTTTCCTTGTCAAAAATGCAGGCACAACTATTTCATTGGACTTCTTTTGTTAGTAATAAGTTTGCATGATAGACATTTTCATACAAAATGACAGAGTAGGTTCCATAAAGATGTCAAATATTCTGCGCTGTCAAACATAAGTCAAACGGGCAAACAGTAAATTCCCTTTCCATTGAACCATAAGCATTATTTTACCGATGAGAATAATACAAGAAAACAGATAGCATGCTTACAAATTCAAATTCACCTTTTAGACAAATATTATAGTCATAGAGCTGTATAGCATGGAAACAGACCCTTCACTCCAACTCGTCCATACTGACCAGATATTTTAAATTAATCTAGTCCCATTTGCCAGCATTTGGCCCGTATCTCTCTAAACCCTTCCTGTTCATACACCCATCAAATGCCTTACAAATGCTGTAATTGTACCAGCCTCCACCACTTCCTCTGGCAGCTCCTTCCATACAGGCACCACTCTCTGCATGAAAATGTTGTCTCTTAGGTGCCTTTCAAATCTTTCTCCTCTCACCTTAAACCTATGCCTTCTGGTATTGGACATCCCCACCCCTGGGAAAAGACCTTGGCTATTCTCCCTACCCATGCCCTCATGATCTTATAAACATCTATTAGGTAACTCCTCAGTCTCCAATGCTCTGGGGAAAATAGCCCCAGACTATTCAGCCTCTGCTTTTAGCTCAAACCTGCCAATCCTGGCAATATCCTCGTAAATCTTTTCTGAACTCAGTCAAGTTTCAGAGCATCCTTCCTATAGCAGGGAGACCAGAATTGAACGCAGTGTTCGAATAGTGGCCTAAGCAATGTCCTGTACAGCCTCAACATGACCGCTGAACTCCTATACTCAATGCACTGACCAACATAGGCAAGCATACCAAACACCTTCTTTACTATCCTGTCTACCTGCGACTCCACTTGCAAGGAACTATGAACATACAAGGTTTGTTCAGCAACACTCCCCAGGACCTTAACATTAAATGTATTAGACCTACCCTGATTTGCCTTTCCAAAATGCAACACCTCACATTTGTCGAAATTAAATTCAATCTGCCACTCCTCAGCCCATTGGCCCATCTGATCAAGATCCCATCGTACTCTGAGGTAACCTTCTTTGCAGTCCACTACACCTCCAACTTTGGTATCATCGGCAAACTTACTCACCATACCTCCAATGTTCACATCCAAATCATTTATATAAATGACGAAAAGCAATGGACCCAGCACTGATCCCTGGGGCACACTGCTGGACACAGGCCTCCAGTCTGGGAAAAAAAAAATGTCCACCACCACCCTCTGTCTTCTACCTTCGAGCCAGTTCTGTATCCAAATAGTTAGTTCTCCCTGTATTCCATGTGATCTAACCTTGCTAACTATTCTACCATTAGGAACCTTGTCAAACACCTTATTGAAGTCCACGAAGCATGTCTACCGCTCTGCCCTCATGAATCCTCTTCGCTACTTCAAAAAGTCAATCAAGTTAGTGAGACATGATTTTCCATGCACAAAGCCATGTTGACTATATTCAACTTCAAAACTGAGTTTAGGGCACCAAGTATTTCTAAAAGATATGACTACACATTTGTCAACAAAAACTTGGTACACAACTTGCAGAAAAAGTAAAAGTAAAGGTATCTTCTTGGTAGTCATTTGTTTTCTGGGAGCTGATGCACTTAGATCTCTGACAAAATGATTTTCTGACTTGCTTTATAAAAACAAAATTCACAAGACTAATCCACACGTATGTGCCTCTTTTTTTGAAATCCCAATCTAAAAATATAATAACTTACATCCATGTTATTATGGTGGAAAACTCAAAATCCTGCTCCTTTTATCATCTCTTTGGCCACTGACCAAATAGTTTCTGATCAAGCAATGTTTTGATTTTAAAATTCTTGTTTTCAAATCCCTCCATCCCTTTCTGCTCCCTGTCTCTGTAACTTGGGGACATGAGTTCAAATCCTATTTCAGCAGATGGTAAATTTTAAACGTAGGTCATTAATCTGGTATTTTTTTTCTCCTACCGATAGCTACATCATCAGATGTGTCGGGCCTAAGCCCTGGAATATCTTTCCTAAACCTTGTTATTTTTCTTTTTCTCCTTTAAGACAGTTCTTAAAATATACCACTTGCTATGGTCCCAGCTGATAGAACCACTGGGCATGTGAGATCCTTGAGTGAAACCTGTTTTGACATATCATAGGTTTAATTTTTTTTTAGTGCTAATGTGGTTGCTAGACATTAAAAGAAATCTGCACAAGGCTGCAGATGTTCTATAACAACAGGACATAAAGTTAACACATACGTTCACCAACTGAGAAGAAAATAAGCAATTTACATATAGAAAACAGTTTTGAAAAATCTGACCACAAAAAGCAAAACAAGAGTTTCATATTGTTTCCCAACACTATCTGTTAAAGAGATTTAAGTGCAAAGAAATTATACTTCGGTCACAACTCCAAGATTCTACTAAAATGATTGTTCCGATTTATTTTCTGTGGAATATAGAGCTAACATTATGACTCTTTTCTAGACTTTGGGCTTGAATGTTTCACAATTTTGAGGGCCTAATCTTTCTCAGTCCTAACAACTTGAAGACTTCTACACAAACTTTCCTGTCTTGAAAACCCCAGACGCTATAAAATACTTCCATTGAAGTGAAAAACTCTGTTCTCCTTTAGAACAAAAAACTCTTCTCCCCTGAACTGAACTTTTAAGATCATTGCTTTGAAAACAAAGGTAATTGCCTTAATGTGTTTGCTCTATCCGTCATAAACTAAATGGCAAAACTTTTTTTCCCATTACGTCATTAGGGGTTTCACCCAGACACTTGACTGCAGTCATGTCTTGTCTGGGAGCTGATGCACATAGATCTCTGACAAAATGATTTTCTGATATGCTTCATTAAAAAAAAACTTCACAGAACTAACCTTCATCTATGCACCTCTATTTTGAAATCCCAATCTAAAAATATAATAACTTACATACTAAACACCTTTCATAACACTTTAACAAAGTTTTTGGTCACAACCTAATATCTCAACTGGCTTAGTGACACTTGGGACATTTAAATATTTAAAGCTCTATATAAACTGTCATGGAGAGTAAAACATCGAAATTGTTAATGTATATCTGTATATTTAGTGACTAATATAAAAACGTAGTAAACAGCCCAACAAAAATGGTTGTTACAATCATGTGACTGGATTTAGCAATAATCTTTTGGGAACATCTACAAAGATCAATGTTAGTCAGACAATGTGCAGCCAGGTATATCTTGATGGGTCTGCAATACTAACTGTTGTGTTATTATCGGCTACAAAGGCAATCATCTCCAAGAAAAAATGTTTACATAACATAATTACAAGTTACACCCATCCTTCCAGATGTGTCAATGGCTTTAATGAACTTATTCCTTGCAATGGGCCATGAACAGTTGGCCACCTGCAATACAAGCCTTTGTCTCATGGAAACTACACCTTCTTCCCTACGGGCTTGGTCATATGAATCCCACCATATGGAATCTAACTACCTATCAATTACATAAATTTGAAACAGCAAGCAGTTAACAAGTCAGTGCTGCCCATGCAGTAACTACAGATAATAATCAACACCATTTACTCCAGTCTACAAGGAAAAAAGCCTCTAGGTTGTAGGAAGCAGCCACCAATGTGCATTTGTGCATTCTACAAGGAAAAACCTCCTTTCAGCAAAACTTCCTCAGAAGACTCTTACAATTTTTAAAATGAGTTGTCTGAAACTCCTTACCTGATGGCTAACCAATTAACCCACCCCACAAATGAATTTCGGACTGCTACCTCCAGCTTTGGACTCTATTTTTAAAAGCACGAATATTGATAAATTAAGTATTGTTTTATATTAAATTGTCATTAACTGAATAATCTCTTTATCTGTTCCAATTCTGTACCTCCTTCTACATTTTTAAGTGTGTTTGTGATACAAGACTCTCATTCCCTGCTCCATATCTAAGTATATGTGAAATAAACCCTACTTCTGGTTTAGCTTTGCCACAGTGCTGTTGTG